TTTATTTCGCCTATAGCCACTCTAATTTAAGCTATTCATTATGCCTGCTAATCTTAATTAAGTAATGGTAAACAGTTAGTGTTGTGTTTTCAATTATATTTATAGAAACGATCTTTGTTAACTTAAAACTATATGGTATTTTTTATTTAAATTCATTTTACATTCGACTTTTATTATCTCTAACAATCATTATTAATGAAACAACCTAGGATATTGAAAGTATTGTTTGTTATAGTTTATTTTTTAAAGAAAGTTAAAATGTCATATAAATAACATCACATTATTTATTGATGAACAAATTAAAAATACAAAAACGAATGTTAATGTTATATCATTGATATGTCAGCACAAAAATATTATTTTATGTAATGCTAACGGTATAATTTTCTACTTTCAAACAAAATGTCTTTGAATTAAGTTTCCATTTTATTTCACTTCTCAAATAAATATCATAACATGTAGCATACGACGTCAATTTCCAGAATCCAGACATTAACAAATAACTATAAAATGTTTTGCCGACAGCACTATTGAGGCCCTTAGGTCTAAAAGACCTGAATACCTTTTTGTATGGTGTACTTTCGTGATTTTCCGATGCTAACGTAACGAGTCCAGTTCACCCTTCGGGGCTCTGGCTAGTTTTCACGCGGGCACTGATCCATGAGCAAAGGGTCGGTAAGCCAAGAGAATAGGCGGAAAACGTGATTGTTACGGTGTTTTATTCAGTGATCAGTGAAAATAAAGGGCATCCAGTGACCTATTTGCTAAATGTATTGGTGGTGAACTGGTAAAGACACGATCATAAAATATATTAGGGAGTGACGAAAACTAATGATTACACCTAGGCCTAATACTAGATTACGAAACAAACTCAATAGAATTTCCTACACTTCATCGTATTCTTCAGTATTTTAACTGAGAAAAAAATGTACGTATCTTTTAACAAGGTATCCAAGATTCTTTATTAAATTACAATTCGTCATTATTCATATAGGCCTCTTTTATGATTTACAGACCTTAAAATTGGGCTTATAATAATTCTCAGTTGTGATTGGTTAATGACTCTATGAATTGATTAATCTTAATATAGCACTAATTGGTATCAAATAGGCATATTAAAAGTTATATTGTGTATAAAATCTCTAATTGAAGGTGAACAACTAAAGATGGGAATAGTAAATCAGGATATTCTACGGAGTTTCTAAACTTATCTGTGGACCTCATTGGTTCTGTTAAACGATTTAATAATTAATTAATTAACTAATTACCTTAGGCCTATACTTTAAATTTGTGATTAAGCATGTTTATGTATATTTTTAAGGTTGACTTTAATGGGGAATAATTAAGCTTTAAAACGTATACTGTACAGAACTATTTTGTGGAATATGTAAAACATATGAGAACTAATTCAAAACGTGGAATTTTCGGTGCGGGGAAGTCTCTTCATGCGTTTGCGAATGTTTTCACACCACTGTTAATCAAAGTAGGCATTTTAAACAGGTAAATTAATCCCATTGTAAAGCGTCTTTAAAATGTTAAACCTATAGTGGGATTAGACCCTAATTTGAAGGAGGATTTTAGCACCAATATCTCAATGAAACCCCCTTTAGTTGGCCATAAATTGGACAATACACTACACCTTGTTAATTGGAAAATCATCCTTGGGACGTGTCTACAATAGTTAACCTACCAGTGAATTTGAACTTAATACATAACGTATTAATCGTTGTAGTTAATACTACACGAATACAACATGTTGAACTGTTTAATAGACTATTCAATATTAATAGAATTGATCACATTTGTCGGATCTACGGATTACATCCGACCGACCATCATTTAAAACGTTTATATGTTACACTTGACTTCCGTATAACTTTAAACTAAATTGCCATACTTTCATAAGCATCTAGTAGGCCAAGCAATGGTGGAATTCTAAGGGAAATTTCCAACGGTTTCCCGACTGTTTATTCCCAGGTATACACGAGGAAATAAATAGTATGCATAGTACAAGCCTAACCCCTCTTAGCCCCCGGAAAGACAGGAAAAGAAACGGGAAATGTAGGACATAGCCGAGGTATTCGGTTACTCAAAATCCTATGTCAAACATATTCTAATGATTTTTAGGAATCTAAACATAGGCCCTACTCATTATTTTTCGTTGTTGCATTCATTCGTTTGCAGACGTTATTGTTTTGCTAATATGAATTACACCTACTTTTATTAAACAGTGTTAACATATGATAGAATGAAAGTAAGTTAATGCCTTAATCGTGGGCAGATAAAAGTGACCAAGACGGGAAATATATTCCGGTAATCGCGGGCATACGCCTGGGAAAACACTGAAGAAGTCAAGGTGAAACTTCAATAAAACGGAAATAAGTTCAAACTTACGTGAAAATCTAGGATCCGGGTTTGCCCCATACCAGCTAGCAGCCGATTGTCTTACGTGGTCATTGTAATGACTCAATTCTCCACCGTTACAGTATGTTGGGCCTAGACCTGGATGAGATAGCTGTGGGACCGGCATGTGATATGGGTTACTGGACTGGTTCATACTAGACGGTTGCATGCCTTGGCTGTGCTGGGTTGCAGAACGATGATGATAAGCGGGTTGCGTTTGCATAGTGGTTAAGTTGTTTCCAGGCTCTAACATAGCTTTCTTGTAGCTTTCCTCGATTGGGCTAAGTATATCCGTTACTGAAAATGGCGTCGTATGCTTAGGGCTGAGGGACATGACTTGAGAAAGCCACTCAAGTGTATTGAAGTACCTAGCCCCTCGATTTATTGTGTTTTCCCAGCGCTGTCGGGTCTACCTTCGGATATCTTCGAAACGATCTCAATAGCCACTTCGCTGGATATGGTCACTGAATTGAAAAAGACTCATTATAAGTAAACATTGAACACTGACTTGAGGGCGCTAGTCAGTTTTCTCATGCCTTTATCACGGCATAGTAAAGAAAGTCTTCTAATAACCAATCACTGCAATACGTCTCACCTCCTTGGTTCTATGAAAAAATCTGATTGGCTGATTAAGTTATGACGTCAACTTTAAACCTACACTTCGACCAATAAATTATCACTTAATTAAACTACCAATGTATGCCATGGAACAGATTTCTCATCTTGATTTTTTTTTTCTGAAAGAGAAAAAATCCGCGAAGATGTGACCCAAGTGGAATGACTCTTCTTGATTCGAGGAAGTTCGAATTCCGATTTTATTAGATAGTGTCCGATCATATTTCGATCTTTTAAGATGGCTGTAATCAACAACAATCTACATTCCTTTTAATCATAATAATTTTAAAAATATGCCTCCAGACATGTATTTTGTTATTAGCGAATATATAATAATTTCATTTACCGCATAACATGTATGATTTTAACAGTTCTTACATTTTAATATTTACAATAATGGGAGTTGTATTTGGAACTACATGTATATTCATCATGATTGTTCTCAAAAATTTTCATCTGGCATTATCACATTATTGATTTACATCAACAAAATTATTGTTATAATAGATTATGCCAAATTACATTATATAGGCCCATTGAAATAAGGATTTAATTTAAAATTATTTTTCTATGATAATAAAGTTTATTTAAAACTCGAAAATGTAATCCTCTCCAATTAAACGACGAATAAATTAAAAAATTAAATTGTATTCAATTTTTAAAATCTTTCAAAATATTCTGTAGATCAGAAACTTAAGCCTATTTATTTCGTTATTTGTCTTATCACACATGTTACATTATTAGAACGAAATCAGAATGTTGCACCAGGCCGGCAACGCTGTCGAACAACGGGTTTTAGTTACATCGTGAGTGTTAACAAGAATTGGATTTGTATTTTCTATGTTTATTTATTTATTTTTTTATTTATTTATTTATTTTTTTAAATGTGAATATTCATTCACGGTAACATATCCAAGTAGATTTCTGTAATCTAAGTACTTGGTAACTTATTTTGAAAAACAAAATACAGAATGATGATGACATAATTAATGTCGAAATATTGAATCCCAACACGATGGCGTGTATTTTAATACTTGGAGTATGTATTATACTTTCTTATCTGAGATTAATCAGTGGACCTTTCGGTTTAAATACAGAATGGCTGCTAAGAAAAGATATTTTATGTGATTCCCCAGCAATAGTTTTTCATTCAGGAGGAGCTACAAGTATTAGTATGATTGCTGTGTGCATATCTGCCGGTTACCATCCAATATCACTCATAAACCCTCCTGGGTCATGTAGGTCTACACATTATTATTTTGTACATTAAGTAATTTAACGAATAATCACATTTATTGGACAAAAATGTACAATGAGAAGTTTTGTACCAAAGTGTCTACCTTAAAATAATTGTAAGTAGGCTAACTATATGGTTTTTTAATTGCTGAATTTTATTCATTGTGTATTTCAATCCCTAGGAAGAGAACAAAAGCTCTCAAAATAGTGGTACAATAAATATGTTCCTAGAAGTAACCTGGTTCAGCTCGTCTTTATTGCGTTTTTGATTTGAAACAACGTGGTTTAAATTTGTGTAATTATAGTAAGTACTTAAAATTTTTTTTTTAATTATATATTATTTATAAATACGGTATATGTTAGGCCAATATATTTTATGTATTAATACGGCATATATTATATATGTTATATATTTATCTATACATAATATATAGATCTATATATCTTTTATATAGATAACTTCAAATAGGACTATAGCTGGCCGATTTTTAAAAAATTGTCTGAGATAATTTTATAAATATCTGATTTAAAGATATAATTTCATAATTATCTGAAATTAATGTGTATGGATTCTAAATAATTGTAGTCGATTCATTATTGTAAGATCTTTACATTTTGTACAATTTCTGTGTTACGTTTAATTCAAATTTCTGATATATTTTAGCCATTTTATACGTAATAGATTAATTGATGGAAGATATGTGGTTAAATGTACATAGGTCTATAACATTTATCAGATACAAATAAGGTTTATTGTTCACGAGATCCGAATTTAATTATGAATACTGTAATAAGACATAGTAGTTATATAATAAATCATAAATAATTTACAACTTGCTGCGGCGCTGTTCTTCATTATCATTGCTATGATGGGATATTAATGGTTATTACTCTATAAATTTATATGTTTACATTGCACTGATCGAGTAGGAAAGAAGCACTGATAAAGTAAGTCTACAGAGCACATATTGCTATAGAGTAGTAGTAGTAGTAGTAGTAGTAGTAGTAGTAGTAGTAGTAGTAGTAGTAGTAGTAGTAGTAATAGTAGTGGTAGTGGTAGTGGTGGTGGTGGTAGTAGTAGTAGTAGTAGTGGTGGTGGTGGTGGTGGTAGTAGTAGTAGTGGCAGCAGCAGTAGTAGCAGGAACAGTAGCGGTAGTAGACCTTTATGTTGTATTTTATTTGTTAGGTTAAATTTAATGTATGTATTTGAATTGGTAATAATTATAATGAGCCTAATGCAAGTACTGTATTAGCGAATAATAGAAAGGTATTACCTGTATGCGCTTTATATGAACAAAAAGACAAATAACCATGAAATATCCTAATGCAACAAAGAGAACAAGGAAACCGGCGGCAAAAAAAAAAAAAAAAAAATGCAGAAGAATAAATCACTGCTCCGTGTTTTTCAGAACTTTGAAGATTAAATGTTAAAGGCTCGCTGGAGCAGTACTCACAGGAACTCTAGTGAAAATGACATCTAGCTAACCTATCCTACAATAAAAACAACATCAGATAAGATTCCCAGAAATTCAAGAAGAGGAGAAAAATAGACTTATGTCATGAAAATGTGTTTCAGTCCCTCTTGGATATTCGACTAGTATCGATCGAAATTTTATCGGAATCCGCCATCAGGTCATGAAAATTTGTTTTGCTTGCAAGGGCCTTCGATTTACTTTCTATTGATATAAGGAAATGTTAGCCCATAAGATTATGTTCTGTATTTTAAATATAATTGGGCAACTCAGGAAGCCGGGTTTCGAATTAAATGGCTTGTAATGCAGGCCTATATTTATTTGACTTCCGTAGTAAATTTAAACAGCGAAAAAAGGCATTTTAGGGTTTGTATCGCTACTCAGGACTCACTTTTATAAGTGGTATTAAAATTCAGTTTTGAAAACAACTTCAATGTTCTATGTTCGTCTTCTTCCTGCTTTACGCTGTGTAAATTAATTAGCAATTATCAGCATTGCAATTATTATTTAATTGCATTTGCGTAATTGTAGAATTTTGTAACAAGTTCGTAATAAATAAATAAATACGGTAATAATTGTTTTCAGTTGCAGAAAATATAATATATGTATACTGTTTTAATATTTTGAATACATTCGTTTAACATTATTATGTTTGAAGAATTGTTTTTGAGTGTTAGAAATTAACAACAAATCATGCTATTGGAGGTTGAATTGAAAAATTCTAATTAGGCCTAATGGTTTATTGTTTTATAATTTATTACATTCAGAATTTTAGAATATTAAAATATTCATATTTGGAAGTTGGTCTCTTATTGAATTTAATTATGTTATGTTGCTGATAATTTGCTTATAATGGAAGAAAACATGTTATTAGTTGTCAATAGTTAAATTTATGGTTTTGTTTTTGGTTTGGATAGATTTCCTTATTGGGGAGAGGGTAATACATTATAAAATATGTGTAAAATAGACGTCATTTACACATATTGGCTAAAATGACATAATTTATTTAATTGGTGCTATATTAAGTCTTATAAAATTACGTAGATATTTAATTTATTACAGATATATACAAACTGAAAAGTGATAAGCCTTATGCATGCGCAATAATACATTAATACGGAATAAAATAATGAACAAAAGGCTAAAGAAAAGTGGAAAGAGCTACAAAAAATATGGAAGGTTTTTTAAAGTAAGAACTGTAACACTTAAAATGTAATGATGTAATGATTTTTTTGGGGGATGTTTAAATGTATGTGTATTTAATTTGCAGTCTTTATAAATAATTATGTATAAAGAAAGATAAGATATAGTAATATGTGAGTAAAGAAAGAAGGTAATAAGACCTAATGCTGTTTGTTAAAGCTATTGTATAAAGTATGTATATAAAAGGAGGAAAAAAATATTGAAAATAAATGAAAAAAAGACAATAAAAGTGGGTTACCTCCACAAAAGACAAAAAAAAAATAATACGGAATAAAATTTAATGTAAACAGACATGTGAACGGATGGCATCATTTGTAAGAGAGATCGGTTGGATCAAATTTTGTTCTTTTTTTATTGTTGGATACTGAACTAGGCGCATAATTATTATAACTAGTATAATTAATTTTTATAAAAAATGTTAATATTTTTAATTTTAATAATAATATTAGCTAGCATAGCTCTCAACGAATGTAGCCCTGTAAATAAATGGCGGGACTCGAACCTGCGACCTCTCGCTGTCAAGGCGAGCGTCAGAACCATTAGACCACGGAGGCTTCATGGTTGAACAGATTCAAATACTACCAGATACTCTTCATTACACAATAATTACGGCTAGAAACAA